TTGCTGTTTTAGCTAGGAGTTTCAGGTGTTATCTTGCCATCTCAAACATTATCATCTTGAGTCTACCTAGATTTGCTTTGTGTTTTTTGTAGCTGTGAGTAAACTGTACCCCTCCCTCATCAAGGGTCCTTGATGCTGGTGAGGAGCTCTTGATCAAGGGAAGTGGATCTGAGTTCATGAGTCATAATAAGTCACTTAAAGTTGTGGTTGCTGTTCACATTGATCTGAATTATATTATATTATTGTAGATGAATGGTTCAGAGAACCGACATGTTGAATTAGACACATGTGCAACTCTTGAGTATCTTTATCCTCAATAAAGATACCTAAGAGTTGCACATGTGTCTAATTCAACATTATATTATATTATATATACTTTTTTTTTTTTTTTTAGGAAATCAACAATTGAAATGTATATTGCTGTAGAGGGATGCTCTCATGGAGAGCTTGACACCATATACAACTCAGTCACCAGACTTGAGCAGATACATGGCTTCACAGTAGATCTTCTTCTTTGTTGTGGGGACTTCCAGTCTGTTCGCAATGAACAGGATCTCAAGTGTATGGCTTGTCCAGTGAAGTATATGGAAATGCGTGACTTCTTCAAGTAAGTAACATTTTATGACCTAGTCAGGGTAACCTAACAATGTTCCACTAAACATATTCAATAGTTTTAAATGTTTGCTTAAGGTTAAGCTTGTGGTCATGATTTCTTATCTTGACTTGTTTTAAATATCAGTATTAAAATGGTTAGGTTCAGTTACTTTTTAAGTAGCACTCAATTTTGTGGGTTAATTAAGAAAGATGACTTTTCTTCCCTATTTGCTTGTTGATTTCTTTTAACTGGAAAGCAACTAAAGTGTGAGTGATGGCAAACATTAGTGTACAACCTTGATAGGAAATAACTGATAAGTTTAACATTTTTAGAATTTTTATGCTATTTTATTAATAACAGATAATAAATGAAATGTACCTATAAAAAATCTTGTTTGAATTTTTTTTTAGGTACCACTCAGGTGAGAAGAAAGCACCAGTGTTGACCATTTTCATCGGGGGCAACCATGAGGCTTCAAATTATCTTCAAGAGTTCCCCTATGGTGGGTGGGTTGCCCCAAATATTTACTATCTGGGGTATGCCGGTGTAATCAGATTCGGAGGGCTTCGTATTGGGGGCCTTTCAGGTATATATAAGGGCCCAGACTACCTCAAGGGTCATTTTGAAAAGCCACCTTATTCCGGGGATTCAGTTCGCAGTGTATATCATGTGCGAAACCTTGAGGTCTTTCGGCTAAAGCAGGTGAGGTTAATGTTGCTAGTGATTGGGAGGGAGTTAATTTTATTTATCATTTTATTTTGCTTTTATGAAGTGCTTAGGGGTAAGAGTTGCATGATTGACTAGACCTAGTTTTACATATAAATGTTATTTATATAGCTATTATCACAATTTCTGTAGACATTTTCATTTTGTGATGCAGTCTAAAGATTATACCTCTTGATATGAAAAGAGAGGCCTGAATGATATTCAATCACTGTATTATATTGAAATCTTTCATTGTTTATATTATTAGAGTTAATTTGCTATAACTTGAGCTTTTGTTTATAAATCATCTTCATAAGTATAGGTAGCATAAATCAGTCTTTTATAACTAACTTTAATTTATTTGCCCGGTAGCTCTCTGGTGAGAGTGACATCATGATGTCTCATGACTGGCCTCGTGGTATTTATCATCATGGTCCCAAGGAAAAGCTTGTGAAATGGAAGCAACATTTTCGTTCTGAGATAGAGAATAGTTCTCTTGGGTCAAGGGCTGCAGAGGATTTGCTCAAGAAGTTGCGTCCCAAGTATTGGTTCTCGGGTCATCTACATGTCAAGTTTCCTGCTGTTCTGCGACACAAGGTATGACACCATGCAAAGACTCAAGTGTAAGTTATAATTGTAGCTACTGCTTTGGCACTTTAGCTAATTCAAAAAAAGAATTCAAGCAGATGTGATATGAAATGAGTTTTCTATTTCAGCAATAAGAATTGAAGATTTACAAATGCAGTACAAGGTACTTAATTTGTTATTAAGGAAGTGTGTGGTACACCAGTACTTACAGTCCAGGTTTCCCCCTCGCTTTATACAATGTCCCACTTCTATTGGTAATTTCTTAGTGTGATATACATTCACCACACGTGATTGCTGCAGTTTGCAAAGCCTGTTTAAGATTCCTATGCAGAATTAACTGTTGAAGTGCTGATTGAGCTTGATACAGCTGCCATGGGCCTAGACTGCATCTACTTTATTAAGCAAGGGGTGCCTTGGGAATTCATTTGTGCCTAATCAGCATGTTAAATCTTTCAATTGACATTTAAGAAATCATTCTGTTTTGTTTATAAGTTGTTATAGGGAATACCTTAGTTATTGTTATTATAGTGAGAAATTTTTGGTGGATAGAATTTTTTTTACAATGTTTTGAGGTAAGGTAAGGACATGAAATTTTTTTTTACAATGTTTTGAAGTAAGGTAAGGACATGAAATACTTTTTTACAAGGTTTTGAGATAAAGTAAGGATATGATTACATTTGTTTGTGATATACAGCACTTTAATGCTTCTGTTTTTTCAATAACAGGTATTAAATGTTGACTTTAATATCCAGTGAAAATTGTGTTTAGTTTTTGTATGTTAATGGTAAAATATATTGTGACAAACCACAGTACTAGTGGGGTTAGAACCATGGCAAGTGAGTGGTAAAACTCTAGGCCAGTGCTTAAGCCACTGGAGTTTCAGCACTCACTCACCATGGGTTCTAACCCCACTCGTACTGCTGTTTGTTTGCAGTCGTGTTATTACAGTTTCGTGAGTCAATATATTGTGTTTAGTTTTTGTATATTAATGGTAAAATATTACCTACAAATATGTGAATAAGGCACAATATACAGTTTATGAGATTTAGTGAGGATGAAACTGCATATTGTCTTAATTCACATAAAAGACTGTGTATTAAATGATTCTAGTACAATATATGCAGTTATATATTTAATGAAAATATTGAAATATTGTTTAAAAGATAAAAAAAAATTGCTTTAAAACTTTGTTTTGTGTGTGCTCTCAATTGTGATGTCAAAAGTACAGTATTTTTGTTCATGGCTGTGTTGCACAGGATTATGTTATAATCATCTGGTCAGTGTTGCATCCACTGGCCAGGTTTATGTTGTGATTGTTTCCAGCTCTTTGATTTGGTGTAAAATGTTCCTACCTGTGCATTAGTTGTAAGTTAATATTTTTGTCTAGCATACTGCAGTTGGGTAATGAGGTGTAAATATCCTACTGGCAGTGTTGATGGCTTCAGCTTTGTCAGCATCTGTACCGAGTTTGTATCAAGGACTTTAAATGTCTTATTCTTTGTCTTGTTTTCTGTAGTAGATAAGGATCAGGGTATCAGAATTTTCAGAATGGAGGCAGACATATTGGCACTGGTGTGTGCAGTTGATACAAGTTTTACAGATTAGCAGGCAAGACAGTATTTTTTGGGGTATTTATTTACAATTGCTTGTGCTGGCTTTTATGGTCTGCTGTTTAAAATATATTACATGAAGAGGAAAAACTACTTGGAATACATATACACTTTAGTGCTGCAATGTTTGTGCTCAATCTTACAAAATGTGTTTAAAAGAAAATGAAGATGGAGAACGAGAACTATTGCTAACGTGGAAGTCTTGAAAATACGTAGAAAATAAGTGGAACGTTTCATTGAAAATTTCTAATACTGATGATATTTAATATTTGTATGGCATGGAAGTGACAAAAGCTAAGCAGTTAATTGATTAAAAAAATGAATGATTAAGTTTACTTATTGCTCTGAAGGAACGAAGTGATATTACCGTATTTAATTTTATTTGGATACAATTTGTTCATATAGTACAGTATAACAGAAAAGAGATTATAATAGAAGTGTCAATGCAATAGGTATAAAGAATAGTAAATAATTTATTATTAAAGAATTATCAGTCATGAAATAAATAACATGAGCCAGTTTTATCAGAGCATGGAGAGACTTGTGCTGGTGTGAAGTACTCATAACTGTGAGAATATAGATGCTTTTCCATAATATTTAATGTAATTGTCTAATGCTTTGTGACTGTGAAGTGTGAAAGGATCTTAGAAACACGGAGGAATGTTGGACAGTATTACTTTGGATGTTTGATAGTCTGGTAGAAATGATTGTGGGTAAAGAGTGAAAAGTAGTAGAATGGTTGTGTATTGCTATAAGTTTTCAAGGGAAAAGCAAGTGAATTGCTAGAAGCATTGCCCTTATATCATACTTTATCTCTCTCACTTTGTCAAGTAGATTGCTGTAAAATTTTGAACACCACTGTGTAAGAAACCTTTTAATTTTACTTAACATTTTCCTTCCATGTATAGTATAAGAGGATCTACATTATTTGTCTATTTCTATTAAATAAATTAGCTCTTTAATTAGATTTTCCCCTGCAGAATAGTATATGAAACATTTAGATTATCTCATTAAATGCCTTCTGGTTTTCATGCAGTTTGTGGGCCATTAGAAGGCTGCAGTGTATAAATTCTTAATTTTTTCTGCTGGACCATTTGCTGTTATGATGTCTGGTTACTTAATATTTCACCAGATACATTAGGTAGTTCCTTACAGTCATCTCCAGATACTGCAGTCACTTTCCATCTGTGTTTAGTAGTCATTTCCCATTTCTCCAGTAAGGTGGCCCATGCAGTCTCTTACATCATCCTGACTTCAATACTATTTCATGCACATACACACAGTGTACCTCTTTCAGGTGAAATCTTCAGAGGATACAAAGATACAAATAATTACTGTAGATTAAATCATATATGACTTCACCTTCTCATTATTGTATAGCATTCTAGAAAACTTATTCTTCGTTTCAGGTAAAGCAATTGCCTTTCATAAACTTGTTTATACTTTCATTGATCTACTTGTAACATTTTTCATTTTCACTGTCTTCCCTTCAGGCTTATTATAATACAGTAATCATAGTGATTGGTAATTATTCAGTCATAAAAATGGACTTTTCCATACATTACTTCTAGAATTAGTTCTTATGCTGATATTTAAATTATTTTAATCACACATAAGCAACTTTTCTTTGGGAATGCATAATATATTACAGTTGTGGAAGCTGTTGTATCTGAAAGGGAAATCTATGTGGTGTATGTCCCTGAGTTATATATGTTACAGGCCAAGTCAATTTTTCTTCTTGAAGGATAACTAGTGAAAAGTTCTGTGTAGGATATATTGGTTATGAATAGTAAAGACAGTGGGAATTGTATTTAATCAAATAAACAGAAGCCTGATTATGAAAATATAACACTGAATGAGAAGGAAAAGACCACAAATGAGTGAATTAGGCTACTGTGTATGAGTCACTGTTTGGAGTGTAAATTTGTTATCATGCTGTAACATGGGTAAACAAATTAGCTCCATGGCGCAGTGTGCTAAAGGATAGGATACTGTATGAGTGTGGGTAAACAGGTATCTGTGGCTTCTTTAAGGATAGGACATAATTTAGATTTGTGTAGGTAGTATAAATAATACTTTTCAGACACACACTAATTAATGCATACACAACATTAGTGTAGACAGAAGGCACAGGGTATATAAAAAGGGGAGTAATGCTGAATCTTGTTTTAAACATGGCAAGATGCTTTAAGTGTACAGTAGGCCTTTAACTTTAAATATGGGTTTAGTATGGGAACAGTCTTATATACAATTGAAGTTGGAATGCAGTGAAGAATTAATAATTAATGCTAAGAAAAAATCTTCAGTATTATTTTACACAAGGGAGGGACATGAAAAAATGCGTATATTTCACATCAGTCATTTCCTAAGCTTGTTGGTTTCAACTTTTCCAATACAGGACGAAAATACTCAAAAAGTGAAGGTCACAAAATTCTTAGCGCTCGACAAGTGCCTGCCGCGTCGAGACTTCCTTCAGGTGATAGATGTTCCAAGCACCCATCCATTAGAGCTAAGTTATGATGCAGAATGGCTGACAATTCTTCGTCTTACCAACCACCTTCTCTCTGTTGGTACACAGAGTGTCTACATGCCTGGGCCAGGCGGTTCTGAGAGGTAAATTTGCAGTGGCATCTGGAGTGTCTTCGTTATGGCTTTGTTGTTTGTGGGCAAAGTGGTGTTGAGGTGTAATTGGTCGGTAAGGAGATCTGAGACTTCGTGCCTGACTGTTCCCATCGAATACTGAGCTGCTCATTGTTTTGTTAATGTTTAGAGGTTTAGTGTGTTGAAACCTGCAGTATGTACTTTCTCTGACCAAGGAAGCTTTTACATCTTATTCATCGTTTTGTTATTGTGTGAACTACACATGGAACTTTTAATGAATCCTTTTCATCTGAGTTGGTAAGTCAAACATGTTAATCTTGAATGTAAAACTTCCATTATTACATGGCTGAAAATGGTAGAGTAATTGTTTAGGGATGTTTTGGGAGGGGTATAAAATAGTAGTAATTGCAAGGTATATAACAGGAATGGATAGTAATCATAGATATTAAGAATGAGTGATGGGTAGATGAACACTTTCTCTCTTATTTAAACAGCTAGCTAATTTAGTACCAATAAATAATAATGGAAGAAAGCACATGATCTGTGACCTTGGACTTAAAAGTTATCCTTACTTCTAAGGATAACTGGCTACTATTATCTACTGCAGCATTTGGGTACAAAATGCTTACATGTACAGCCTAATGACATGTCTAATTCAATTTATTCCCCATAGTGTTATATGTACTTAAAAAATTGAAAATGTTCATGCTTTCCTTGAAGAAAATGTGCTTCTGAAGTTTTCATTCAAGGTTAGGTTAGGTTTTGCTTTGTAATTGTCCACTGCCAATTTTAAAATATAATAGTAAAATGGTGTAATTAGGCCCTTAATAACTTTTCAATGAATTTTAAAGTACATTATAAATAAGTCAAGTTAGTTTGGGAGAAGTTTGAAATTGTACGCAAGAGTGATATCACAGTTCCAAAAATGTTCAGATTTTGTGCTTAATATGCATTACCCATTAGCATGATTATAATATATTTACTGTAGTCATAAGATTGTACAGTACAAGTATTTAACCCTTTGACTGTTTCGGTCGTATATATACGTCTTATGCACCACTGTTTCTGACGTATTTATACGCATAAATTCTAGCAGCTTCAAATCAAGCGGGAGAAAGCTGGTAGGCTCACATGTGTGAGAATGGGTCCGTGTGGTCAGTGTGCACCACATAAAAAAATCTTGCAGCACGCAGTGCGTAATGAGAAAAAAAACTGGCCGTTTTTTTTGGATTAAAACGCCGACTTTGAGGTGTATTTTCGTATAGTATTTATCGTTGTATTCTCGTTTTCATGGTCTCAGGTGATAAAATGGAAAACATATTACAGAAATAGAGATGATTTTTGATTACTTTCACGGTGAAAATGACCTTGAAATTGAGCTCAAAGTAGCGGAAATATTCGATTTTTACCAATGTTCAGGAGTAAGCAAATCACACCACACGTCCAATACATGTCAACTGGGGAGTCTAATATTCTTTCACTAGTGCACTGATATTATTTATACCATTTTTACAATAATGCAGTAGTCTGCATAACAGTAAATTTTGTATTTTTTTGTATGAATAAAAAATCAAAATAGAAAGCAATAGTAATATAAGAGGGGCCTAGAGACGTGACTAATGAACAGAGGATATGTTATTTTAGTGCCAAGAATGTCTACATTGTTTAGTCTGGACCCTGTTTTGAAATTGGCATCTTTTTTAATTTGCATGAAATTGGCCAAATTGCCAATGTCTCACCACTTTATTGGGTAGTTCAGATCGGTAAATGAGTTCTAAAGAAATGGCTATGAGCTTGGTCAACTGAAACAACGGAATTGGCCAAAAACAGGGCTCAAAGTTGGCGAACTCGCCGATGTGTATATGTCACCTAAACCTCTAAATTCGCGGGAGCATAATTCCGCGAGTTTTCAACCAAATTTCATACTTTTGGTGTCATTACCATTGGGAAAAGATTCTCTATCATTTCATAAGAAAAAATAATTTTTTTTTTTTCCAAAAATTTATCGACATAGAATGATAGTTTCAGAAAGGGGCCTGCGACAGTCAAAGGGTTAAAAATCCAAAATTTACCTACATTTTGAGAGAGAACTGAAACATATTTTCTCAAGAAAATTAAAGTATTATTTATATGTTGATCTGCAGTTGGTATTAGACATGTGGCAAGCAGTTGAAAGTAGGGCTATTTGTCATTGAGCTGTACACAAAATGTGGATGTTTCGTGCCCATATATGCAGTGGTTATGTTAATATCCAATTCTGGAAAGTATATATATATAAATATTAAATCTATATCAGACAAACAGTACAGTACATATTTCTAAAACAACCTCCTGGATTGGACGAAAGTTATTTTGTAAAAGAACACTCTAACACTAAAGCAGATGTGGGGTAGGGCACAGATGCTAAAATAAGTGCTGGAACAACACTAAAAGTCTTCAACAGGAAAAAGCAATAATTGGTATGGTTATATCAACAGATTGTGCAAATAAGACATTTAATAATTTTTACCACAAGTGATGCCTTTAGTCATAATACAACTAGAACAAGTACTATATAGAGTACAAGGAGTCAGATGAAAAATGGAAAAATAAAGTACAGCAAGTATAAAAAATGAGGCTAGAGGCAGTAGCTTTAAAATTAGGTAGGACCATTACAGTACAGCATATGAGTATGATGTAATTTTAAACCTGTCTCTAGCCTTATTTTGTATATTACCTCACTTTTTTCATTGTTTACCTGGTGCTTATTCTATCAGTCTATTAGGACTGAAGAAATTACTCATGGCAAAACAAAAGGAAGAGAGAGGTTCTTGCTGGATATCTCAGACTAGTCAGGTTGTAAGGGTTTTGTTGGCCTGAAGTCTTGGCCAGAAGGTCTGATTTGGTAGCTTACAGGAAAGCTTTGCTGGAGGCCAGGTTGGGAGGGTAGAACAAATGTCTCAAATCTGGTTGCTAGAATGTTTCAGGTAAGATTTAAGAGTGCAAGAATTAATTTCCAGTCTGTATGGTAAGGCTAAACCCATAAAGAAGGTGTTCTAACCATAATTACATTTTCCTTATTTTATTTTTCTATGTATTGTATCATTTTCACGACAAAGCTTTTTAATTCTTTTTATAGTTTCATCGACTCTAATCTGTAAGCGAATTGGAATGGTTGAGAACATTTTTTTTGTGGGTAATGACAGGGTTAGAGATTTAGGTAGGGATACAAGTTTTTTAAATCTATTTGCCTCCGTCACTTATGCTCTAGTGGTTATGTGTGCAGCCAGTTTAATGGTAGAACATTACACTAGGCACAACTAACAGATGGTGGCATTTGCTAGAGGTTAATAATGCTAGGTCTTTTAAGATACTTCGTCTTGTAGTGTAGGTAATGACAACAGTCAGCAGTATAGGGGGATTTATATACATATAAATATTATTGAATGGTTAATTGCAATTCTTCTGTTACTCTTTTTTTAGGTAAACGCTCTATGAAATATTTTTAATTTAACATATTTTCACTTAAAATGTTTTAGAAACCAACGTCATAATAACCTTTGACTTATTCTGGTTAGGAATACATATGTAAGTTTGTTAAGTGGGAATGTAATACTCAGCATTTATTGTGACATTACATGGAGTAATTTGTATGCAGGCTATGAATCTCATTCAGACATTGCTGGGTGTAGTATTAATTTTCTGGCATAGTTTACTGGTGTAGAAAGTATCAAAGGGGTTATACACTGAATATCTTTAATTCTGCAATGCTCTTCTATCCTTTCTGGGCAAGTATCTCCTAACCCCATAAAATTGGGAATAGAGATAATGAGTTGTCATTTGGTATTTCTGAAGAGGCTTTGTTAAAGTAGTCGACTGCATTAGAGCTTGTTGCAATCTCTCGTCAGTAAGTAACGTGTCACGGATTGTTTAATTTGTTGTTAAAAGCTTTCATTGGGGAAGACTTCAGCATTTGAAGTTCAGCTGTGTACTCAAAGTTGATAATATACCCTGAGAACAGTGGCTTCTCTTGAAAATGCAGCAAGAAAATGGTTGATATTCTTGTTTAGTTTGGAAGGATTTGGAAAACTACAGTATGGTAAATAAATGTCGTGGGTATAACTTTTTTTTTTTTACTTAATGTATATAAAATAAATATTGGAATACAACAGGTGTTTTGTTTTGCAGGTACCAGTTCACTCCTACAAAGGAAGAAATTCAAGAGACTATTCAGATGATGAATGGAAATCTGGTCATTCCTAAAAAATTTACTTCTACGGCAGAAACGTATAATAAAAATAAGGGAAAACCAAGAATGGATTTGATTCATATGCCTCAGCCTTGTTTGAACCCTCAAACCACTGTTTTCTGTGACAGGCTTGGCTTAGATGATCCAATGGCTTTGCTTTTAGGGGGTAAAAGAAAGGCCTTGATATCTCCAAAAATAAATTCACCAAACCCAAGACTAAATGACTCGGAGTTGAACATTACTCTGGAAACGTCCAAACTATCTCATAGTCCAGATGAGGTAAATATTCTGTTACCATGTTAAAGGAATTTTTTATAACCTCTACTTTTTCAGTATCTAATTTACATTAAGAATAATGGGTTCCTTCATTCTCTTGACAATTACTATATTTTTTGTCTTTCATTGTCTTCTCAGCATATTTGTATGTATATCTCTCTCTCTCTCCTTGCTTCTTGCTTACCAGTGGTTCACTTTGATCACATTCACAGGTGGAGCTAAGTGATGATGAGAATGCAGATATTGTGATGGAGTTGAGACTAAGTCCTGACTTGCCTCCTGATGCCGAGGGATCTGTTGAATTTGTTTTGAGCCCCATCAGAAGAGATGACTCAACTGGTTCACAAAGCCCTGGGGTACAGCCTCTTTCTAGTTCACCAAGGTAGGTGCATCTCTATATAAAAAAAATACTGAAAGAAACATACAATAATGACTTCGATAAGGTTATCATTTCACTTTAATTCTTTTTGTTGAACCAAGTGTTAGTATGTTATAAAGATTTACATTCTGGGAGGTTAATTTTAATTTGTATGAGAGAGATAGTAGGGAAGTTTATTATTTCATTGTGCTGAATGACATATTGGTCCCAACACTGTAAATCTTAAATCTTTGTTCCTTTAGATGTTGATTAATTAGGAGAAATTTTGCAATGTGCTAGCCACATTTGTATAGTACATAATCCATAGATCTATTTTTCTAGCCATTAATAATATATTCTAGCATGGGTGTTAGGATATGGGGTAAATCCTTTACATCACACTTCATAGGGTATAGACATTATGATTTGTGTTCATCTTGCATAAAGATTAAAATGACTAGTCTGAGAGTGTCAAAACACAGACAAAGATAAGTATTTGTATAGTGCTCCCAACAATTTCTTGTTATGAGTATTTTAATATTATATGCATGGAAGTAGTATAGTAGGAGGGGCCTGCTTATACAGCAAGTTAGGCTCCAGGCTACTGCAGTAAAATGAAACATAGCCTTTTTATTGCTCTCATATGCATATAAAAGCCTGTTAACATGTTTACATTATCATATATTAAGTAAGCAATAGAGCTAGGCCTAAAAAATGCATATACAATACACACACACTACTTACCTTAAAATATTTTAATCCTTAGCTTATAGTGAATATATTTATTGTAGGAAGTCTGAATAAATGAAGAATGGGTTTAATTGAAAGCTGATGCATTAGCAAAACTGTCAAGTGGGGCTCACCTGTACATCTAATATACAAATTAAAATAGTTGTAGATTTCTCTGTTATATGAATGGTGTAACTAAAACAATTTACATGTGTGTGGACAGAAGGGATGTTGTGTATTTAATTATATCAATAGTGATCACATGCACTTTAGTAATCAGGTTTATTTGTGTTTTTTTTCTAATAATTTGAATGTATCGACAAAGTTTTTTTTTTTTTTTCATTTAGACATACAGGTGTGTTGGGTGGACATCGGCGTGGAATTGTTCTGTCCAGTCCAAAAGCGGAGAGTCAGTCTTCGCCCAATCCTTTCACCTGCGATACCTCCTCTGCTTCCTCGTCTCTCAGTGAAAGTGAATCTAGTCCACACAGAAGCCCACAGACAAAGCGAACAAATGAAGAGGAAAAGGAATCATCCAAGAAAGAAAGTGTTTCGTTAAGTCCAGAGACTTGTAAAGGAATGAAGAAATTTAAAAGAAGAAATCAAGAAAATTACTCTCCCAAAGAAAGATAATTAAATATAAAATTATGTTCAAGTATGTGTGAATTAGGTGCAAGTTTAAGACTGCAGATATTTTATAATTCCTGAGAGTGGCTGCATTTTTTTTTTTAAAATTTAAAAAGCGTGATTGAATGGTGTCCTTTTTTTTTTAAATGGAATTATAAATTTGTTATTTTAATATGAAAGAAAAATAACAGAAGAGTTACAGTCCAGAGCTGTACAGCTGAATGGTGCAAATTTTGTAAAATCTGTGTAAAGCATATGTGGTTATAGTTGACATTGAATGAAGAATGTAGTATTGTAGTTGTTGTGGACAGTGTAAGGGTGCACAGGATTGTGTATTTTGGTACAAATTATGTAAAGACTTTATATTAACTTTAATACTTGTCAAATTTTCTCTTGAAGCGATAAAGCTACTTGAAAAAATTTTTATTGTATTTATTACTCTTTGAACTCGTTGATAAACACGTATTTTGAATTTTTATTTTTGAGAAGCTTTGTTTAAAATTGGCAATAGCATTGTTCTCAATGAAATTTATACTATTTCAGCTTGATAATTCTATTATTTTATATTTGGTTTTTGATTGGAATGTTTGTATGTATCATATGTTAATATTTTAAACCTTTGAATGTTTTTCATTGTTTACCGTGGTCTTATTTATATTGCAGCTCATCATCATGTGGACATTAGTTCTTAAACTGGTATTTTTGTTGAGATTTAGGGGAATTTAGATTTGTTATAGAAACAAAGTATAACCTGACATGCAAAAAAATTTTTACATCTTGCTTTGATCTCTGGCCACATGTTAATCCCTAATAGAATTTTTTTTTTTTTTTTTTTTTTTTTTCTAGTCACAGATCGATTTTGTGTTAAAGGGGTATCTTATATAGGTTCTATATGGATGCTGGTTATTTTTTTAGAAGACAATTGTCCTGTTTTTTTAAAACATTAATTTTATAATTTTTGAGTTTGTTGCTACAATTTTGTTCAAAAAAAATCTCTTTCTTTTCACCCATGTACAAATGAATTATTAGGGAAAAATCTATATTAAAGAACTTTTTTTTTGTTGAGGTCTTTTAATATCGAATGTGATTGAGCTCCTTTATAAATAAAACCAAAATTAACATGCCCATGTACAGCATATCCTAAGCAACGGGAAATTAAAAAACTATAAAAAGTCACAGAATTTTTTGCAGTTTCTTCATAACTGCAACTTGGGTTATGTTAGGTTAGTTATTGTCTAGCATTCAAAATAAAGCAATTATACCAAAAGAGAGCCAAAAAGACGAAGCCAGAAGGGGGGGGGACTGACCAAGTCTATTTAATGGCCCAAGTCAGCCAAACTGTTGTCATGTTTCAATCTTCCGATGCGGGTTACCCGTTAATCTTTCATTTATTTGGGAGGATTATAACTGGTTAAACTAACTGTAGACAATGTAACCCCGCAAGGGAAGGGTTTCCCTTTATGTTGGTGAGGGGCTCTTTATTTTGGGGAATTGGATCTGTGCTCCAGTTCCCCGAATTAACCTGAATGCCTTCCCCCATCCCCCCCCCCCCCGGCCCCCCCCCCCCCCCCAAACCCCCCCCCCCCCCCCCCCCCCCCCCCCCCCCCCCCCCCCCCCCCCCCCTTGATTAACATAACAAACATAGACAATTAATCACTTTGATTAGGGGGCCTGTGGTGCCACCAAAAGCCCGGTTGATCGGCCGCCAACAGTAGGCCCGGTATGGGAGGTTGTGGGGGGCATAGACTTTAGAACACAATAAAGGAGAGAAAGGTGTGTAAAGGAAATTGAAATAAAAAGGAAAGAGGAAGATGATGAGGATGGGGTGACAAATGATTAGGTAATAAGAATATAAGAGATCATGCAACAGCTACTGGCCTATAGAGGGAGTTCCAATTTCCCCCGGCTTAAGCCAATGTCTTGCCTAGTGATGTAGACACTTCATTAAGGGAGGGGACTGCATCCGACCCGTAGCACAAAATAATGTTTATGTGTATTTATCCAACCCATTTTTTAAAACTACACAACAAACTTAGCGTCTATATGGTACTTTTTGGGGTTTGTTCCACTCATCCACCTCATTACCCAAAACCAGTGCTTTCCTATATCCTTCCTGAATTTTATTTTTTTTTCCAATTTTTAAAACCCATTGTTGCAAAAAGCCCTGGCAAAGGTTAGAAAATTTTTACCCATGCTTTTTTCATCCCCTTTTTTAAAATTCATTTTTTTCCTTTTTTATACACCTCAATCATTTTTCCCTAATTCTATGCCTTTCTAGAGAGTGTAGTTTTCAGGGCCCTCAGCTCCCTCATAGGGAAAAATTTCTGATACAGGGGGATCAATTTTGTCATCCCCCTTTCTACTTTTTTCCGTGCATTTATCCCATTCGTAATTTGGGCCCAAAATGTGCAGCATAATCAAAAAATTTTTTGCCAAACAAAGATACGGGTTTAAAAGAACAACCTGAGGATTTTCTATTATTTATTTTCCTTGCTATTTTGAAGCCAAGGATTTTTGTTAGCCTTTTTTTTGTGAACACTAATGAAACGGGTTTGTCTTGGTTTTGATTACTGTAACCGAACTCCTAAATCCTTTTTGCAATCCATAATATTAAAAATCTACTTTATTTAGTTTATAATTTTAGGCAGGGTTTTATTTTCCTGTCCAACTTTTTAAAACCCTTTGCATTTGTCTATTTTAAAAAACTGTATTGTATTTGGTTGGTAGACCAGCAACAACCAGGGAAGTACTACCGCCCGCCAGTGATTTGTGAAAAAAAAACCTGTAATTTTTTGCATGATGGGGGGTTTTGCGGGTTTTCTTTTTCTGTCTCATAAAAAACGCTAAGATAACAGGGATATCTTGCTACTCCTACTTACATTTTGGGGTTCACACTTCACGGGCCCGCACATGAAATATATATTTCCCAACCCATCTGGGTTTTTTCCCCTTTTTTCTAAATGTCTTGTTCTTTTTTATTTTTCTATTGTCCATGGGGGAATTTGGAAAAGAATCTTTCCCCCTTTAGCCATGCGTGTCGTTTTGGGGGGGACAAAAAGCCGGGAGAAAATGGGCTTGAAACCCCCTTTCTCCGGGATACAATTATTTAAAAAAAGAGAAGAAAAAAAAACTTTAAAAACTGGTTGTTTTAAATGTCGTGGATGTAGGCGGATGACAAGAAAAGTTGTTGCTGATGTTATGAATGAAAAAAGTTGAATGTCCTGGCCCAAAGCGAAACAAAGCTAAAGGGGGGTAGGAGGGGGTTTCAGTGGGGGGAAATTTAAATGGGGTTTAAAATCTGGGTATCTGAGAGAGTTAGAGAAAAGGAAAGGGGGTGGGAAAGTAATGTTAAAGGGATCAGTTAGGGAAGGAAAAGAAATATGAATGTGAAAAATTCAAGAATTATGTGGATTAAAGAAAAGGTTGGATGCGAGAAGTGGGTCGTAATAAGCGTGTATGCCCTGGAAAAAGAGGGGGAATGCAGAGGAGAGAGAGAGTTTTGTGGGAGATGTTAAGTGAATTTTATGGGGCCCTTTGAACCAAGTGAGAGAGTATTTGTGGTAGGGGACTTGGAAAGCTAAAATGGAGAAAATTTTAGAGGGGGGTGTGGGGAGGTAAATTTTGGGGGTGGGCCCGGTGTAAAAGATAATGGGGCCCTTTTATTGAAAAATTTTTATAGAAAAGGGGGTTTTGTTATAGGTAATACATATTTTAAGAAAAAGAGGATAAATAAAATATACACGATATTTATGTAGGGCGAAAAGGAAATAGTTTGTTGGATTATGTATTTGGGAGATAAAAGACTGTTGAGTTTGCCCTTTAGGATGAATGTTTATGAGGGGCCACAGATATATCAATCACTTTCTAGTTGTAGCTACACTGAGAGTAAAAGGTAGATGGGGTACAAGGAGGAAAAAGAAAACATCAGGGAAGAGAGAGGGGGAAGGGTTTTTAAACTAAAAGAAAGGGGGCAGTTAGGGTAAGATATAAACGGTATTGGAGGATAGATGGGGTAATGGGGCATGGCAATGGGGTCGAAAAAGGTATGGGGTTTGGTTTAAAAATGGGGGGTTTTTAGAGTGTTCAGCAGAAGTTTGTTGGTTTACAGGAAAGGGGTGCAGGAGGGAAAAGGGAAAACGATTTGGGGGAATGATGATGTAAAGAGGTAGTAAAGGGAGGAAAAAAATTAGGATATGAGAAGTTTTTACAAAATAGAAGTTTTGCAAGGAGGGAAGAGATATGGGAGGGAAAAAAAGAAAAAGTTTAAAAGAGTGGGTTGGAAGCAATTTTAAAAAGAGAAACCCAAAAGAGGGGTTGGGGGGAGAAAGTTAATTTAACAAATTTTGTTGAAAATAAGAAAAAAAATTTTTGGGGTGAGATTAAACAAGTTAAGAAAAACAAAAGAACAAATTGGGGTTTGCCCGTTAAAAAAAAGGAGAGGAGGGGTTATTAAAAAGGAGAGTTAGGGTATTGGGAAGATGGAAAAGGAAAAATTTTGGGGAAATTGGGGTTAAAAAGTTTATGAAAATAGGGAAACTGTGGGTTTCGTGTATAGGGGAAGGGGGGAATAACATCTTGTGGAGTGAGGAAGAGCCAGGGTTTTGGTGTGGGGGTTCGTGAGGAAAATAGGGTTTAAAAAGAAAGGGGGGGGAAAGGGAGCCGGGTTTTATGGGGTTAAAAAATAGAAATTTTAAAAGCAGGTGGGGATATTGTTTTGGAGGGGGGTTGGTTTCAATTATTTTATAAAGGTTTTGGAAGAGGGTAAGGACCTAGGGAATTTGGCCCGGGGAGCATGCCCTTTGTTCCCTTTTTATTTAAAAAAAAAAAAAAAAAAAAAAAAAAAAAGGGAAAGGGGAAAAAAAAGAAAAAGTGCAAAAATTATAAGGGGGGAAAAATCTGTTAGTGTACCTGGTAAAATGTATGGGAGAGGTTTTTAATTGAAAGAATTAAGAGTAGAAGGGAGAATAGGGGTAGCAGATGAAAAAGGGGGGCTTTAGGGAAAGGGT